ATCTATATTTGTTTGCTTTCTCTACCAACTTTGCATTCCTAAAATTAGACTCTGCATGCGTGATGAAGTTACCCAGGACTCCAAAATTCTCAGATAAAAACGATTCTTTCTTCTTTAAACAATTTTACTTGGTGAGCATCTTGGCATTCAAACTTCGCCCTACTCAAAAGTTGTCTTGGCTTTTTTCTTCTAATTATTTCCCATAAATCCCTCATTTCTACATGATATACTTTATGTAAAAACTCTAAAATGTGTACTTACAAAGTCCTTCAAGTGAAGTAATTCTTTTAACCCTAGATAAGAAATCAGTATTTATCCTTGGGGGGAAAAATTCTTGCCTTGATAAGATAGACTTAAATTTTGACTAAATTTTGTATAAGAAGGGTATTAGAGGATTTGACATCTGTGACCTTTTGTATACAAATCTATTTCATTGCTGGTAAATTAAGGCCTAGAAAGTCTTAAATAACTTGCACCAAGCCGTGCAATGAGTAATGGCTGATATGGGAGATATATCGAGGTTTGGTCATTCTCAATTCCATCTCAATATTCTAAATTTTAAAACTCTGATGGCCTCCTGATATTTTAAACCATCCATGTCTTAGTCCTAGGTCTAATTATCAAATGTGTAATTATCACACAGCGCACCATGCTTAAAAAGTAACAAACTGTGTGTAAAACATGTTTATGGAGACAGGCGGGGGAGGACTACCCTCCAAAAGATAAATTCATGGACTATTTGATAAAGTCAGGCTAGAAGAGCAAAGGAGGGTAGTAAATAAATGTCATGCTCGAAAACTGAATTTTGCAGATAGTTTTCAGCATGATTTTTTCTGTTTCACTTTTCCCTGTCAGCTGTGAGCTGTTTCCAAATGTGAAATCGCCTAAGAGGAAGCAAAGCTGTCATTTGACATCTGGGAGCGTGGAGATTGGGCTGCAGAAAAGAGCATTTTGGACGTCTTCAATTTACACACATATCCAACTATAAACTCTCAGGTGTGAAAAGTACTCAATGAGAAATATCAATGTAAATATCAAGCATTTATAAAGGCTTACAAATGGGGAGGAAAATGAAGAAGGATGTGGGCTGATAGGATGCCAAATCAACTTCTTAACGACCAGAAAGAGAAACTTCAGTGGTGATATTTGCATAATAACTAACATATAATGTTATTTGTCTTAAGTTGCATATTAAACATCCAAATACAGTCTTTTGTATTTTATATGCTTAATATTACGGGTTCTATTTTCTAGCTGCTTTTTTAATGAGTCAACACTGCGAAAAAATACTGATAAAAAAATACTGCCTCGACATTTTACTTTTCCTTTCGACTTAAAATGCTACAACAGAAATTTATTCTATATTATGATCAATGAATAGTTCCAAGGATAAAGCACATTAAACTCCTTTGAGTGCGTGTTCATGTGTGTGCACAAATAGAAATAAAGTCAGAAGAACTACAAGGAAGTCCTCTGCAGAAGAATAACCAATTGACTCCAGTTTTTAGTCTATAATTGCACACAATGAAAAACAGGAGAACCTGTCTAAAAGTCTCTTCACCCAGCATCTGAACGTCTCCTAATATGGAGACTAGACACTGTTATGTTTATATTGTCGCGCTATACAATCTGTTCCTACTTTGGGGACTATGTCTTTGCTCTCTCTCTTCCTGAGCTCCGTTCTGTTTCTCTGGTATGAAAGGAACCCATTTACCATGAATGATGTTTATTTAAAATAAAACCTTTCTAGAGAATCACCCTAGATAATCTGAGGATACAAAGTGAACCTAAAAGGAATGGCTTCTACTTTGAAAACAGGGCTGGGTTTGATCAGTGAATTCGTATTCTCAAGACCCTCTTGATGGGCCTGCAGCTGCAGTCATTTATTTGCTGGCTTTTTCACAGATGTAGACAGAGAACGCTCCGTGGTTTTTGTCTTTTTGTTATTGGATTTGTTTTCTTTAATATCAAAAAGTGGCAACTTTTTTGTTTTTTTTTAAGTTCTTCGCTTTGTTGTAGAAACTTGTGAATTCTGGACATCCTTGTTGAAATGACTATGGCTTTTTAAAATCTAAGATCACAAAGTTGGCAGAAACTATACTTAAATAACAGAAGGTAATCATTTGCATATCAAAATTTATCTATCTTGCTTTTCCCCTCAATTAGACCAAAACATGTTGATTCACAGGTTTCTGTGTGTGTGTTTTTTTAAAACTTATTTATAGAGCAGAATAATGGCCCCCCTGCTAGTCTGGCATTTGCTCAAGTTTCTGTCCATGTAAATCGAGTCTGTTACTGGAAATTTTTCTCAAAATATAAAGGCACATCATCCACAAGATTAAAAGATACACTGCTGATATTATAAAGCACAGGGCAGGTGGATAATGTTTTTCGGACAGATATGTGATAAGGGTTCCCAGGCAGGAGGAGTGGGGGGGGTAGAGGCTGCATGCTGTTTAAACAGCAGTGAATCATTCTCATCACAGTTTTGTGACAACTTTACTTTCTCACCAAACATCAGGTGCTTAACATGCTTTGGAGTTACTTGAGCAATAATTCTAAGGTTAGAGTTGAGAAATGGGAGGGCTGGGGTAGGGAATGGAGGGAGAATTACTTCAACCTTTAGTGCTTTTAAGAGTAGATCAAAAGAGGACTAAGTACTCTATGTCCCAGTGCATTCATTGGTTTGTGATTTTTAGGCATTGAAATATTAGTATATTATCATTACTCCCACCCCTTTGAGAGGAGGAGGAAAGCCCACGTGCAGTTTTTTATCAGTAGCACTGCTACTCAATCTGGGGACAAACAGTAATTTATAAATTTTTGCTCCAATTCCCCTTGCATTATAAGCAAGGAGCAGGAGTACACAGTCTTAGCTGAGTTCTGCACTCTCTCGGCTTAAGATCCTCTAAATTAGAACACTAGCATTACTTTTCAGTTAAGGCCATTACTGGTTTTATTTTATCCTGTTGATAAAACAAATTAATAGGCCCACAGAATGAAGAGACTTTCCACACTGTTCAGTGCATTAATAATACTAGAACACTTTTGCAACTCACAAAGCTTGAAAGTATAATTCTCTTATGCAAATAATTAAAACAAAGCCCTTCTTCAGACTACAGCATTTTTCAAATGTTAGTGAAGGACAACCTGGAAGATGACAGCAAAAAAAATCCATTAATGGTAGACTGCCACCTGCTGGTAAACTAGAAGAATTGCGATTTCTGGGCTAAAGCTTAAAAATTAGAACTTGGAAACGATCTGTATTAAAATCCGTATTTCAGTACACAAAACTGAAAGTGTGTCTCTATTGGTGAATGTAGTATGGTTTTTTCCCACATATATTACAACTCTTAAGACGTCAACATGCTATAATGTTAAAGTAAATACGTACTTTAAACTGAAGAAAAATAATCTGCTAGGATGCCAAAGTACAATCCTACCGATAGTTTCAATAAGAAAGTACCAATATTAATAGGAAATAATGAGTCTGTTATAAACATTAAACAACGCCCCATAACCATTTCGTTTTAATATGGTTTATACTGCACTTGACTTCAGGACTTAACAGAACTTCACTTAAAATAACTCCCCAAATTTAACTCTGAATCTAAAACCTCCAAATTCATTATAATTAACTCGTATATTTATGTATATTGATACATAAAATGTTATTTCTTATCAAATTAGAAAATGAGGGGATCTGTTAAAAAAAATGAACCAGATAATCATAATAAAGTGATTTTACTATGAAATTTTGTTATCCTATTAACTAAATCATACAAACAAGGTTTCAAAAAGACAGCATAGTACGTATTACCTATTCGAGAGAAACAAACAAACTGTAGGCACGCTCTGCTACCCCTAGAAAGACATAGAAACAAGCAGCCCTGACTTGGGGGACGAAAGAGAGTAACAGCAACAAGAAAATCCAAATCGTTGTTGGCAGGAAATGGTTTTAGGACATTTGCTTCGCAGGTTGAAAAACTTTGCAATTCCCCAATACAGAAATAATTCTTAACAATGAAGGTTGTAACTAAAAACAAGATCGCGCTTTCAATCCTAATTATAATCATTTCCCATTATGCAGGGGAACAATGTTTGCATCAGGAATACATTGGTTAGCTAGTCAGCACTAAATACTGTATTAATCAACAGCTAAGCAGATCATGTCACTATAATCAGCCTGAGCCCCCTGTGAAAGCCGGTGGGGTGACAAGTGAAGAAACTTTGACCATCCAGAGAGGCTGAATGTCAGGCGACAGGTGAACGAACTTTGGGTTCAAATATAGCCCAGTCTGCACTGATGACAGAGAAACTAACTCCAACCCAAACCATGTGCGTCAGCAACCTGTAATTACCAACAAAGGATCTAACACCCCCAGAAATAAATCTCTAATTTTTATAAAACAAAGACAATACAGCAAGAGCAAGAGAGACCTGTTGTGTCAAATATTTGGCTAAGTAGGCTGGTTTAAGACAAGAAGAACAAGCTCCCTAACATTTCTCAAATATAAAGAACGCTTTAAATTCTGCTCTAAAATGCCAGGTTGGCTCATCACTGAAGTCACAACATTGTTTTTTGTTTTTGTTTTTAATTCCACATTTTACCCATTTTTAGCCTTAGGAATACTGATTGCCCTTTCAGTCAATTACCTCACACATCTTAATAAAAAGCACCCATTTAAAGAGGTTCAGGGTATTTTAAGGTCTTTCTAAACACTAAGAAGTTAAGACATTTCTAAGATAGAATTCATTGCCCGTTCTACAAGTACAAACCCATCTGACAACAATAAATACATATACACACATATACATGTACACATAAAACATTATAAAACTATATAATGGTTTTATCCCCCAATTTTTTTTTGAAAGGTTAAAGAGATAACCGAATCCAACATATACGTGAACTGCTAGTGAAAAACACAACTTCTATAAAGAAACGAGAGCTGCCGAACTACTTTTTCAAGTGAAACACGGTAGGAGATGGCGCTAACCTGGGGCACAGTACATTCTCTCTATGGCATCGCTGTCACAGGAATCTTCAACCTCACTCCACCTGCTAAAATACGTTAGCTGAATGTGTCCTAAAAACAAAACGACAGGAGAAATCAAAACATTTTTCTCTTCCATTTTCTGCAGAAGTGAACTGTAATTACTCCTTTTGTAGCTAAAAACAGTATCATTAAGAATAATGGCATCATTAAGTACTAGAAGCTATTACTGGGGGTGAATTTGCTGCACTGATAATGAAGCTCTAGACAGGAAATGAAGATACTAATTACAAGATAAAACGCCTACTCAGTTAATTGGAAGCAACAGCGAATAAAAAGAAATGCATTTGCAAAAGTTCCTGACCTCTATCATTCAATAAGATGTTGTTTGGGTTCAAATCGCGGCACACAATCCCCTCTCTGTGCAAAGCATCAAGGGCTACCACCATTTCAGCTGCCCATCTTTGAATGCAGCCCTCTGGGATGTAAAACCTGGAGTTTAGTGCTAATTTTTTATCAAGGTCCTCAAAAATCTGATGTATTTCCTGGTCTCCTTCTAGTGCTAACCCACTCTCTGCCTTAGTCACCGAGTCTCTCTGAAATAAAGCAGGTTCCTCTTCAGCCAACTCATCAGTATGATCTGTAAAGAGCAATACTTCTTCAGTTTTTAAAGCGTCTGTGTTGGCGTTACGTTCATTAGCACCTGAGAGTGGGTCAGAAATAGGAAAGAAGCTTTCGTCTGTATTGTTTGCAGTAACTGCCGACTCAACTGCTCCAAGTCCTTGAAAGTTAGGATCTGAGCTGTGTAACAAAGACAAGTGTCCTGAGCTACTATGATCAACAGCTGCTGCAAATAACATCCCAAGACCCCCCTGTACAAAGTGTTTCTCTGTTATAGCATGGGATTGAAGTCTAGAGGGATCCCCCAATTCGTCTGGGCCTTTTGCTTCTAGAGTTTGGCACTGCTCAGTACTAAGCCTGAGGCATAAAACATCGGGGGCCTCCAGTAGTTTACTTTCTATTATGCCTACATTAGTCTGTGTAAACTTAGTGGGTCCCATTGCTGCACCATCTTTCGTTGGCTCCAATTCACCAGGTAGATTTACAAGAAGATCAGGCCTTCCTTCATCGGTAGCACTGACATCATCAAAAGCAGCATCCTTAAAAGAAATGACTGGGACAGAGTCATCTGAGCCCCTACTAATGGTGTCCTGAGCGATAACTTTGCTTTCACAGACATTAAAACCCCTGGAAGTGCTGTCTCCATCTGAGAGAGTAAAAAATGGTTTCAAAGGCTCTGACTTTAGGCTATATATTTTTTCTCCAAAATCGAGTCCTAGGATTTCACTAGTGCTATCCTTACTGTCTATCCTAAAGAATTCCATGGGGCTGTTTTTCGATCTACTGAGGGAGTCAGATGTTCTTGGAGGACTAGCTGCTTCCAGGTCATCGTTTCCAGGAAAGAGCTTCAGCTCAGGAGCTAACAGCTGTGTGCTGGAGCTGTCACTGTCGGCAGCAGGGTGTGCTGGGATGCTTTCAACAGCTTTGGTGGTAACATCATTCTTTTCGGGCTTCAGGAAAGGCTCCTCATTCAGTGACCCTGGTTCAATCTTTTCTTGACCGTATTCATTGCATAATGTTAAATAACTAGTAGTACATTCTTCTTCTGAGCTGGAGCCGGAATCTGGCCATTTTGGAGAGCTGTCCTGGCCATCATCGTCTTGGATGCTATCATCTTGAGAGCTTTGAGTAAGGCTAGTCTTCAAAGGCAGAACTTTAAGCAAGCTTCCGCCATCACTTCCTCTGGATTCAAAGCTGCTGCTGTCCTGAGGACTAGAAGTTGGCTGCTGTAGGTGAACTTTAGCAAGTGTAGATTTTTTCACTTCCTTAATGTCAAAGCTTTCTTCAGGACTTCTGCTTAGAAATTTACCGATATAGGACCAGAGTTTGCCACCTGTGAACAAGTATAACCAAAAAAAAAAAAAAATTAAGGTTCCCAAATTAATGGTTACTTACTAAAGCCATTAGAAAAATAAAAAGTATTCTAATAATCAATCAAAAGCCAGTCAGTGATACCCATTAATACATCAAATCTGCTAAAAGACAAGCATTTTCATAAAATGTCTTGCTATTGCTGACTGCAGTTTCAAACATCTCTCCAAATATCATTTTTTAAACAACAACCAATTTCTTCCTTTGAAGGGAAATTAATAACAAATACTAATATGAAATCTCAAAGCTGAATTTCTGCTTTAAAGTTAAATATAATTTATCTTTAGAAACATTTATGTTCTGATTTGTTTATGTAATAATTTTTTCAAGCATGGCCCATTGGTTAAGTGGAAATCCATAAGTAAGTGCTACTTAAAACTGTATACTTCATTGGGGAAAAAAACCTGTAATATTATTCCATTTTGAAAATGCCCCGTCCAGTATTAGAGGGGAGATTTGGCATCTGGTATATAATTACACCATTATAAATGACATATTAATAATATTTTTCCCATTTTCTCCCCTCCCCATACACATCATGTGTGGTATGAGACCAAGTAATACAATTAAAGAATATTAATTGGGAAGCCATTAATGAGGCAAGCTATTGTAATTCTGATTCTATATTCTGATATATATCAGAAACCTATAAAAACCAAAATCATAAAAATCAATTTCACAGAAATCATAGAAGTCAAACAAACACAAAATAATCCAATCTTTTACCAGCAATATTTGTTAGGAAGTTATTTCACCTTATTTTTCTTTTGCTTTATTAAACCATGAAAAACTAAACCTCTTTTGCTATAATTAGAGTCTTTGAATAAATAAGTAAGAATAAATAAATCACTATGTTAAGTATCAAAACCCTACCAAAGCTCTACTGACTAGAAACAGTATTGCAAGACAGAATAAATTTGATCCAGAAATCTTAAAAACACTCATTGCAAAAGCATACTTTGTGAAGATAGAACTGTAGCTTCCAAAAATGGGAAATAATGTGTTAAAAATGAATCCCTCTATTAACAAGGTGAAGGCAACTTTTTTCAGCACATTTTTAATGCTGTTATTCAGCATCATATACCAAGGGTAACTAAATCCAGGGAAACAATCACTGACGGTCAATTATATACGTAAAAAGGTCAATGGAAGCATCCAAAAAATCTTTTCCTACTTTGTATTTCATTTCATTTAGAGAAACTCAATAAACACATAAAGCACTCCCGATACTATGCCTAGTATAGAGTACCTGCTCAATAAAGGGTAGGTGTCATAATATTAACACTAGGTTACTCATACGTCTCCTCTACCCGTGATCTAGTTTACAGTCCTCTCCCGTTTTGATAACAATTAACAGCATGGGACATTTGGTGTTTAACTTTCCCCTCTCCTTTTTCCTTAGCTAGCTTTCTGTCCTCACTAGATTATACTGAATGTTTAATATTTTCCCACATTTAATCTAAAGTTGAAGGATTCATATGTGGCCTTGAAGCTCACTCACAAAAGGAGCTATGCATTGATTTCATCTTTTTTAGCCTTTTGACAACAATAATTGCACTCCTCTTATCACAAATACATCTATTGTGGCATACTAACAATAATGTCTATACCAGAAGATGGGACTCTTGTGTGCAATCCCCCCAAAAAAAGGCGCATGTCTTTTTCAATTCTCCTAGATGGTCACTACTACTGTGAGGGCAGAACCAAGTCCTTTCATCTTTGTGTGCCTAGTGCCTACACAGTACGCAGGACATGAAAGGCCTTCAGTCAGTGCTGTGACCTCAGATGATAATCCATCAGAATGACATGCGCCATCACAGTGCCTACAGCTGTAACATTACTGCCAGTGGTCAGCAAGAAACAGTGTCTAGTCACGTTCTAAGAAAAGTTTCATTCATTCCTAGGCCAATTCCACTTGGATGAGCTACTGAAATCTAAACGGCAATGTGCCTCAATTCTTTATTTTTACCCAAATCACTTCCTCTTTCTGAATTCCGAGCACTCTGGCACAAAAGCTTTGGACCAAACTTGGATGATTTTCTCTCCCTTGTTCTTTCTACATCTGACAAGTTTCCAAGTCCTATAGGATCTACCTGTAAGGTTTTTCACAGTCTTTCTCTTCTTTTAATTCCTTTGACCACTCTGCTTCTGGGAGTAACATTATAGCTACAACCAGATCTCTACTTTAAGTCCTTCCTGGATCACTCTACCATGCTAACTGCTGCCCAATTAACCTCTCATTCTAGCACAGATCTTATAATGTCATTTTTCTATTCAAGAACCCAAATCCCCTCCACCCACTGAATAAGGTACCAGCTACATAAGGGCATTTGAACTCAGTAATCCAGTATCAACCCATGATCTGGTTTTCGCCCTTAACTCACCGCATAATCTATCTGAACTGGATTTCTCCACATATAACCCATGCGGGGCTTTTGTTCAAACTATACCTATCACTTAAAAGTTTCTTTCCTATTAGTTTCCCAAACATCTGCTTGTCCTTCAGCATTTGTTTTCTTTTACCGTTTTTGTTTTTGTTTTATATCTCCTAGCTGGATACAATCCTACGTTCTATGAATCCTCTATATCGTTTTGTCCCTCTTACGACATTTACAGCATCTATTTCATACATATTAATATTAGTTTTATGCTTTTATTATCTCCTTTACCAGACTGCAGGGTCTTCCTAACTACAGGGAGAGGACTCTGTCTAGCATGTAAAATAACAGGTATTAAATAAATATGTATTAAATTGGGTTATAAAAAGATGACACCTTTATAAATTTTTTTAAAACCTTTCAAGGAAAAGGGTCCATAAATGATAATGTCATTATTTTGGTAATACTTTCTTTCTATTTCAATACAAATATATGATTTTATTGTAAAAATTTTTAAATACAGAAAAAAAACAAGAAAAACAAAAGGTTCAGAATATATCCCATAACATTACCCATAACGACTATTAATTAGTACATTTATTTATCTTCATGCTTTTTAAACAAACTAACATATCATAAACATTTTCTAATTTTCATGAGACTATGAACTTTAATAGCTATACAGCACATCTATGTGATAGATATTATGATGCATTTAAATATTCCTCTATTGATGGACACTTAAGATACTCCAGTCTTTCACATTAGAATGAAAATAAACACATACTTTTGCATACAAATATTTGACATCTCTGATTATTTCATCAGGACAGAATTCCAGAAATAAAAGTACTAAATCAAGAAGCATGAATACTTTTAGAGCTTCTGCCATGTGTTATTAAATGACTTTACAGAAAAGTTGTCCCAGAATCCACTCATGTAAGCAATGTGTCTTGGTGCCCTCTTCATGCCAACTTGCTTATACTAGATATTAGCAAGTTTACCACTTTGATTAATAAATATGGCAACATATTTAATGTCCATTCTTTTCATTATTAGATAAAATTTCTAAATGTGTACACCTGAAATTAATATAAAGTAACACTGAATATAAACTGTAATTGAAAAATGTTTAAAGTGGGGGAGATGTGAAAAAAAAAAAAGCTAAATGTGTTTGCTGGCACTTTCTTTATGGAATTTGTTCTTAGCCTAAACAAGTACTCAAACTGAATTATAAAAACTTTGCATGTTCAAGTGAAAAATAAACTGTTTTAGCTCTTCTCCATTCTTTGCTCAGTGCCCAGTTAAATTTAATGCTCAAACTGGAGCTATAGAAACAAAAATTTTGGTCCTATCACACACTTTTTTTTATTTATTTAAAAAACCATAAAAATCACATAACTTACAAGAACACATTATTCCTATTGAAGTTTCTCACCCACAAAAGCTGAGTGGGTTTTACTTTATATAGGGTAAAATCAGGCCCAACAGACAAATTTACACAAATGTCAACTTTGTAACATTAAAAACATTAACCTAAAAAACAAAAACAAAAACCGTTATCACTAAACCACAAAATATAAATAGAAAACACCTAACGTATTTACAATTTTTAACACTCCAAGAATATAAATGATACCTTCCTAAGCATATAAAATTATAGAAACTAGCTATTTTAAGTTATGAAAATAGCAATTCATAAGGTTTAATAAAATATTTGCTCTTTGTCCCTTCATCAGATTTTAATCTGTTGGTTTTCTTCAAGATTGCAAAGAAAATTTGTTAAATTTGTTTAACCAGAATTAGGACTTTAAATGAATATGTATGATAAAATATTACTGGACCAATGATCAAAAATCATCTTTTGACTCAGAAAATTTACTTAAGTAAATTTGTCCTATAAATGGCTCTCAAATAAACAAAACAAAAATACATAAAGATATATAGGTAAAAGCACTAGAAACAAATTAAACACCAATTAACAGGGGTAGTCAAATAAATTAGGGTTAATCTGCACAGCTAAATACTCTGTACCTATTCAAAAGATAATAGCAGGACGGGCCGACTGGCTCAGTTGGTTAAGAGCGCGAGCTCTGAGCAACTGCGTCAACTGGTTCGATTCCCACTTGGGCCTGTGAGCTGCGCCTGAGCTGAGCTGCCAACAGGTGGCAGGATGGCTCAGCTGGTGAGAGTACGTGCTCCTAACAATAAGGTTGCCGGTTCAACTCCCACATGAGATGGTGGGCTGCGTCCCCTGCAACTAAGATTGAGCACAGCACCTTGAGCTGAGCGGCCGCCAGCTGCCAACTGGACTTGGAGCCTAGCTAGCTGCGCCCTGCACAACTAAGATAGAAGGACAACATCTTGGCTGTTCCCCTTCCCCAATTCCCCAATAAAAATCTGTGAAACTAAATAAATAAATAAAAACAGCAATATTTGCAAATACTTAAACAGTGTTTACCATGTACCAACTATTTAATCCACACGCCAATCCTCTGAAGTAGGTAATTAGTACCGCCCGTATTTTACAAAAAGGTGAAGTAACTTGCAAGGTCACATAATTAGTAAATGCTGAGCCAGCCTTGGGGCTAACGTGCTCTGGCTCCAGGGTCCACACTATACCGCCTCTCTTAGTGCAGACCTACGCGTATATATACTGAAAAAGAAAGCTGTCCAAGGTACATTGTTAAGATGAGGCAGGAAAGCTTCTATAGAACAATACGTAAGGCCCATTTATGAGTGTGTTTTTTTAAAAGCTGACAGGTAGGAAGTATATGTTTATATACATAGGAAATTTTTCCCCCTATTTCTAGAGAATGAAATTGAGCATTAATGTGAATAGGGAGGGGAGATTTTAATTCTAATTTGTATACTTCTACATAGTTCAAATTTATTTATGTATTAGCTGAAAATTTTTTTTAACTAGTTAATAAAGTGAGAATCATTTCACCCCTTGGGTCCACAAATAACTCGGAGAAATTCTTTCCCATCCCCCATCTATTTGGTGTGTCCATACTTGGAGGCTTTTCCAATCATTTTCTTCTAATCTAGTTATTCACCTTCTCTCTAACTTAGTATTCAACAATTGCACACTGAGCATGTTCTATACACTAAGCATTCTGCTAAATGCTGGGATATGTATGATGAGTGTGACAAAAATCCCTAATCTTGGGGGCTTAGAAGGTTTTAATAATACTCATGGCTTTGACTGAATACAATTAATTTCCCGCCTTTTGTTCCTCAGAGTTAAAATGAGAGATTCATGAATAGAAACCAATGAACATTTTAAACCTCTCTCCTAAAATCGTATCTAGTATATCCCACTGCCTACTTGCTCAACACCACACAGGGTCACTAAGCATCTCAAGCTCAGAAGTCCGAAACTGAATCCCTGGCTGGTCCCTCCCACAGCTTTCCCCATCTTAGTAAATGGAAGCTCCATTCTTTCAGTTATCTGAGCCAAAACCCTGGAGTCATGCGAGAACCATACCAGTTCTACCTTCAAAATACATTCCGAGCCTAGTAACCATTTCTCACCACCTCCAGCACTGGCACTTTGTCCATGCCCTCCCCCACCCCCACCATTTTCACCTGGATGCTGCAGCAACTTCCAAACTGGGCTCCCGCTTCTGCCTTTGCCCCCCTATATTCTATTTTCCACAAAGCAGCCAGGGTGATTCCTACCTTGTCACTCCTCTGCTCAATGTCCGCCAATGCCTTCCTACCTATTTGGACTAAACAAGTTCTTAAAGTGGCCTACAAAACCACAGCAGATCCGCCCGCCTGCCTCCCCGTCTCTCTGAGCTGGTTCCTGCCTACTCTTCCCACCTGCTCCAGCCACACTGACCTTGCTGTTTCTTGCACACCAAGTACACTCTTGCCTCCGGATCTATGCACTTGTTTTCTCTTGCCAAGACATTCTTCCCTCGTGTAGCCACACTGCTCCCTCTCTCACTTCCTTCAAATCACTGACCAAATGTCTCTTCTTAATAAGGTGGCCACGCTATATAAAACAGCAGCCTCTACCTCACCCTTCTGGCATTTCCTTCTCCCTCCTTTTATTTATCTCCATCTGACACATGTTTACTTATGTATTTGCTAATTATTTGTTCTGCCTCAATAATGTAAGCTCCGGGGTGACTGGTTAGCTCAGTTGGTTAGAGTGTAGTGCTAATAACACCAAGGTTGCCAGTTCGATCTCCTCATAGGCCGCTGTGAGATGCACCTTCCCCCAAAAAAATACAATTTAAAGAAAAAATAATAATGTAAGCTCCACGTGGGCAGAGTCTTGGCCTATTTTGTTCACGGCCCTATTAGAACTAAACCTGTATCCCAGTAAGCACTCAATTCATTGCTGACTGAATGACTTAAAAATGGAGAGAAAATGAGACCAAGAGACCCATGTGAATCATGAATAGTTTTGTAAGCAGAGGGAAGCTAAAACCACAAATCATAAATAGTCAAGCATTCATATTATGGAAAAAACAACTGTTCAACCTTTTTACTATAGTAATAGTTTATTCCACATATGAAAATGATCTTTTTATGATATATGCACAACTTCCTAATTCACAGAGGTAACAAAGAAAGTACCACTAACATGTGAAAACGAGCACATTGTCCATCATCCAGTTCCAAGCAATTACCCTCAAGTCTTCTCTCCCAAACCTCGACTCCATCACAGGTGCCATGGACTCTGCCCTCAGAGCATCTCTGCTAGCACCCCAGAAGGCCATGCCATCATGCCTCTTGCCTAGACTACTTTATTAGCCTTCTCACTGTTTCTATTCTTGTCTTTCTACAACAGCCATTGATCTTTTTATAATATAAATCAGACCTTGTCCCTGTTTCAAATGTCCAATGGTGCCAATGCACTAGAAAAAAAGCCAAAGTCCTTACACTGCCATAGAAGGCTCCTGCCTGCTTCTCCCAAAGGCACATATTCTATCTACTATTTCCCTCAACTACTACACTCCAACCAAACGGTCTCCTTTCTTATTTCTCAAATATTCCAAGTTTGTTTTTGCCTTCAATTTCTTAGGCTGATCCCTGTATCTGGAATGGGCTTCCCCCTTACATCCAAATGGCTACTTCTTTTATCATTCAGAATTCTTTTCAAATGTCACCTTCTTAGAGGGGACTTATTTGACTACCTAATCTAAAGTAGTCCCCTAGTCGTTCATTACCTATTAGCTCTCTCTGTGTGAAAGATCAGTATTATTATTATCTAATGTTCTCTTGCTTTTTTTTTTCTTTCTGTTTGACGACAAAAGAAATGTAAGTTTCAAAGAGGCAGGCTCTTTTTCTGTCTTGTTTACCTAAAGGAGAGCCTAGTACATAATACATGCTCAATAAATTTGTTAAATAGTAAATAAATCCAGAGTCCCTATTTATACTAAAACTTAATATCTTTGTATTATAAAATCTTCTTAAAATTAAACAATAGACAGCTGAAATGCACAATCAAAAGAGGTCCGCCCGCCAAAGTTTAAATAATCCAGGACAAATTCTACGGTCATGTGACCATTCAAAGTCAGGCATGGTCAACAATAAAGGAAAAGAGACTCAGTGAAGATAATCAAAACAGTAGAAATTTTGAAAGCCCTATGTCTACGTCTTTAAGACAGATTCTAAAGATTTTTTATAGTACTGAAGTAAATTCAGTTGAAAAAACCTTAGGGAGTATAAGAAAAGCTGAGAAGATGGCAGAAGAAAAACTGAAGTATGATTTGGAGAAGAAAGAGAAGAACGGGAAGAGGAAGTTGCAAACAGCAGAGGTAAACTAGGATTAAAATTTTGCCACAGATAATCTCAAACATGAATAATCCACCCTGGGTAATAGACTATTGACTATAATTACGTTCATCCTACTGACCTTGTTCTAAATTATTATGGATTATTACTATGCAAGTTATTTTTGTTCCACACCAGAGGTGGCTGTATTCCGCTATCAGATGACATGACCTCTAATTCAATAATGTCTGTAATGCACTGGTATCCTCAGATAAAAGCTGTCTATAATGTCTGAACAAAGGTGAATTAGTTATCCAATTCACACACGCAATTAACTCTCTTAATACCTGAGAGACCATGGAGCCCCTTCTGAATTTCCTATTAAATACCACATATGGAGGTCTTCCCTCCATCTGTAGTTATCTTGTACTGTACTTCATAATAAACAGTATTAATAGTTTATTGCCCCCGTCAAAAATCTTGCATTAGTTATCAGGAGACCTCATTCCACAAAGCAATATCTCATTTTCTTGGGAAAATGCATTAAAGTCAGATGCTATGCCTATTAGTAAAGCACAATAGTTCTTTATTCTCAGTAATGTAAAAATAATAACACCTTCATGAAATTTGGAAAATAACTTAATTTTTTTCACTATTTTGAGAACACCTCTTAAAAGCTAAAAGTTAATATTTATTATGTGTATTTATATTTACATTATGCTGTATTCAGTCATTCTAAATAAAAAACTATTATTTAAATTCAGGCATTTAAGGGCAAAAACAAATCAAAACATAATATTTTTTTGCCACCTGTTCCCTCTACTAAGAGCTAAAATTTCATAAATAGTTTGAAGGCAGAGTACCATTCTTTATACCCATATGTGATGCCAACAGCTGTATTCATAAAAACCCAGATTATAATAACTAGGTCATGTCAAATGTCAAGCAAATACCTGTGCCTTCTAAAAAAGGAGGTAATTAATTAATTCTTCAGGGGATGCTTTTTATTTTAGGTATCTAACATTAATGTATCCTTTCAGCAGAAAACAAGAGAACAAAATAAAATCTCTAAAATAAAGCCTGGCTCTCGTAGCACCCACTCGCCTGAAAAGTTCTCATCCTGTCAGATCGCTTCTAGGAGATAGTAAGTAGTTAAGTACATCTAACAAGGTTGTTGTATTTCTGATGAAATCTGCTGCTCACCTGGGTTTTGATTTTCCCTCCCAACTCAAAGTAGGGAAGGAAAGCAGAGGACTAAGGAAACAGTTTCTTACTGCTCACGTAATGACAGAAGAACATTCTAGAAATTACAAATCTAAGTAGGTGACATCCTTCGTTCCATAAACAATTGAGAGTACAAACCAACCTTCCACGTGCTGCAGCACAAGAAATACCGACTCCTCAGAAATGATGTACTTGTGCAGACACACCATGTTGGGCACACAGCGGGGGATGATGGTCTTTCTGTTCCCGCTGTATTCACTGCTTTTCCTTAGACCCTGACAGAGAACAAAAAGGTCAGTTGTACCCTCAGTTGCCTTTGGAGCCTGCTGTGCTCTGTGTTTATCAACCAAACTAATCTATCCGAGTTACTCTGGGCTTCAGAGAATCCACTCATCTGCTGCTCTATGCCCCTCAGTCCCTGGAGGCTCCACTGATGACATCTGGCGTGAGTCCAGAGAACGGAAGATGCCACAAAGCTGCCATTAAAATCAATTACGTGGGTCAGTGTTTTTATTAGAGATGCTCTCAAACGAAGTCATCAGGATGACACACAGTTATTTCTCTATGACCTTTTCTTAAGTTTTATTTTACTTGTGTATATCTTGAAAGCAGTGGACACTGTAAGATCAATTCAAATTCCTGAGCCACAAAAGGTATTCCTACATTAAACAGGTAATTTTAAAATTCTATTCCCGACAAGTACAAAGATTATTTTAAGTTTTCTCCAAAGGTACAGGTGTGTGTAGTTTCTGATGTCATACCTTGGTTTAAAAATCTAGAGAAATGTCAGTGATAAACTACACTCATAAAAAGAAATTTGTTTCAGTATAGGTCAACGCAACGTACTGCCATGCTGATAAGTAAAGGCAAAGGTATCAGCAAAAGAAATGTGAAATTAACTCTAGATGCGGTGGCAATGTTTAAATTGGGATACTTTTAGAATATGTACCATCACAATCCATTTCAAAATTTTAAAATTGAAGGATTTTTCTTTCTTTTTTCATTTAATTACAAACTGAGTTACATGGAAAATCAAACTGAATTTAGATCAAAAAGAGAACTAGGGATGTTGACAACATTTCTCAAATACCTGTAACAAAGACTTTAAGGCAAAATTTCAGCACTTAAGAACTATAATCATAATCAAAAGTGAGACTATATGTGGTCTTCACAAATTATACAAAATGTACTAGAGAGGTATTTAAACTATACACTATACATTTAAACAGCATGAAATGAGTCTTCAACTTATCCATATTTTTCCTCCATATTCTCTTATCTAAAACGCTTTTTAAACATATGCTACAGAGTATTCATCAACTGTGATGGAAGGACAAAAAATAAAATAAATACAGATCACCACAAACATAAACGAACATTCAAACACCCAAGAAAAAAAAATTAAATAATTTTTCTTTCAGAAGCTGAATTTGAAAATACATTTCTAAATTCATTAAACATACAAATTCTACTTACTTTTAAAATGAATGTCTGTTCTGTCCTTGTGTCCATTACAAGTAAAACCTATATAAAAGATAAGAGTAATAATTTATTCATAATACAACAAAACATTAACTCATAACTTATTAAAACTATACTTTTAGGGTTTGGGGAGAAGTGTTGGAATCGACTCTGCCAAGATTGTTTATTTCTGAATAGATGTTTTTTTAAAGCTACCAAATCACAGGATTAAAAAAGTCTCATCTAAACTGGGCTTTATTATGGTTTCCTTTTCTAAAAATGCCATGTTTTAGGAATATTACTATGTTTCCTAGATTGATTTTAAAATATATTTCTTAAAAGTAAAGGAAAAATTATTTAGACAAAGAATTTTTCCTCATGAAACATTTATGATTAAGAAGTAAAAGAAAATTTTACAGGAAACGCTCAAGTTCAATTTTCTTCCTAAAACCCCTTGTGTAGCAACTGGCTATAACATGATCTCTCTCAATAACTCAGGCTCCAGCCTAAGGCATTCTTTTTGTACTACTTCTCCATCCTGGACTCATCCTTAACTCCTCTTTTTCCATCAGCAAATCCTGTCAGCTCTTTCTGAAAGTATATCCAGAACCTGAACTCGCCTCATCATTTCCACAGCTATGACCCTGATCCAAACAAAGACTCACCTGGATTACAACAATGGCCTCCCAACAGATCTCTGTTTCCATCTTTGCTGCCCTATCATCTACTCTCAAAATAGCAGCCAGCATTTTCTTTTTAAAACAGAAGTAGATCGTGTCACTCCGCTCAAAGAAAAGGCTTAAGTCCAAGAAATTATCTCAAGACCTTTCATGACCTCACACACTGCCCGTTCAAACTACCCACTACCCTCACCCATCTTGATGGATGGGAGTGAACAGAGATGGGAAATTATCCTACCATATTAACATTTCATTATTTTCCAGACACTATTATCAGAGGTTGGCAAACTTTTTCTGTAAATATCCAGACAGTAAATATTTTAGGCTTTGCAGGCCCATGTGGTCTCTGTTGCAGCAGTTCAAACTCTGCCACGTAACACAAACGCAGCCACCATCTGAAACGGGCCATGGTGGGGGAGCACGTATACCACAGAAATCTGCAAACACTGTCAACAGGCCCTTTTCCTCCAACTCCAGAGAACTGGGAGTCAAGGATGAAAAAAATATGTCAAGCTCCAGAAAATAAAGAATGGTGAGAAGAAATAGGAGTTAAGATGGGGAGTCAGTGTGAGAAGAAGATGGTAAATTCCATTTCAGACAAGGTGAATTTGAAGTCATAGCGACAATGTCATCTTAGAAGCAACCTCTCTTCTAAGTATCTCACGTACTGTGCAGGTCTCCATTTAATGTCAATTGAACATTCCCACAGATATCTCATCCCTTCCTCTTTCCAAAGCCCTGTCCCTACTAAAAACAAACCAAAATCCTGTTTCCCCTCCTACCGTACTGAATAACACTACCAATCCATGGAACTCCTCCCCACCTCCACCCGGTCCCCCCCACCCCGTAAACCAAAAAGCTCCCAGAGTCACTAAGATATCCTGTCCCTACCTTCATGAGCAGTGACCAAGTCCAGTCAATTCTACCTCCTACGTATTTCTCTTATCTGCCCTCTACTCTCTCTCACCTATCATGCTTTAAGCGTTTCCTATGTACTAAGCTTTAGCCACATGTACTCAGTGTTAATTCTTTCAACTACCCAATGAGATAATTTTACCATTTCTACTCTAACTACGAAGACATTATAGCTTCATCTGTAGAAGCTATAATGGTAGATAATAACGGTGCCTACCATATGTGAGCATTTCAGTGAGACAATCCTGTAACAGTGCCTGGTGTAGGCGGTTATTATTATTGCTACCACTATTATTACTGTGTCTCCCTGAAATGCCCCCAGCCACTTACCAAACAAGTACTCATCTTTCCATCTTCTGCTCAAATGTCTCTCTCTCTCAGTAACAATGATTCTTTTCTTCCTTCACTCTCCCACTATATACAGTACCAACTTCTGTTATCGCATTTCTCACCCTTCAATTTGGTTATATGTTGTAGGCAGAATAATGGTCACCAAAGACGTTCATACCTTAATCTCCAGAACCTGTGAATATGTCATGTTACTGACAAAAAGGACTTTGCAGATGTAATTAAGGTACAGACAGTAAAACAGATTATCCTGGATTATTGGAGTGGGCTCAATCAAATCACATGAACCTTTAAAAGTACAGAACTGCCTCTGGCCTGAAGTGGAAAGTACAGAAATGACATAAGAGGAAATCCGAGAGATTTGAGGTATGAGAGGGGTGCGCGGTTGCCGGCTCTGATATAGAGACCCACAGGGAAGCACCAGTGAGACGCCTCTAGGAGCTCACAGCAAGCACGAGGCCGCCATAGAAGGAACAGGCCGCTTCTAGGAGCCAAGACCAGCTGTTCCCTGAAAGCCACGCAAGGAAGAAAGTTCAGTCCTACAACCACAAAAAGAAAAACAAGAAGCTCACTGGCCCAGGAACCTGAATGAGCCTGAAAGTGGATTTTTCCCCAGAGCCTCCAGTAAGGAACGCAGCACTGCCAGCACCCTGATTTTAGTCCAATGTGACCCAGGGCGGGCCTCCAATCCAAAGAACTGTGACATAATAAATTTCGTTGTTTTAAGCTGCTACGTTTGTGGTAACTTGTTATGACAGCAATAGGAAACTGTACATGGCAAAAACTATATTCCAACACATCTCCCACAGTAAATGTTCAATAAACATAAGTGAATGAATTCAGTATAAAAGTTTGGAAGGTAGATGGTAATATGGGAACGGAGCTTAGAAATTAAATGGAAACTAGAGATTTATAGTTGAGCAGTCTCCACAAAGATAACAGCTTAAGACATGAGAATGTAACTGGAACGCTTACTTTTACCAGGCACTATGCTGGGATTTAAAGAATTAAATAATGTAACTCAACAATTCAATGAGGTAGGTATACTTTTATTAACCAATTTTACAGATGAGAAAGCAAACATAAAACTGTTAACTTGACAATGCTCATAAAGCAAAGAAGTGGTATTGGTGAAATTTAAACCCTAACAGTCTGGCTATGTGGTTCTTCCTCTTTAACTGCAAAGCTATATTATTTATGTCTGAATTTTGAAAATTATACAGAGTTAGAATATTGAAGGTATATAAAACAACAAGCAAAACTGTCGTGAAAAAAGTACAAAGACAAAATAGTGGTTCAGAAAAGAAGAAAACCAGAAAATATGGTAATTCAGATGTCAAGGGGAAAGAATGCTTAAATGAAAGTGATCATCTATGCCAAACACCAAAGAGGAGCCATGAAGAATAAGGAATGCGATAGGATTACTGCCTCAGGTAGGTAGGTAGCCAGTGGTAACTTTCAGTACCACATTATGCAGTGAATTTGTCGGGACAGAAGTCAGACTCCTCTGAGTTAATAATGGGTGATAAGAAAATGGAGGTGACACACACACACAGCAATATGTCAGAAAAAGGAAAAATACTACAATGAAAGAGCTGGTACACCATATACACCATATACAAGAATCAACTCAAAATGGTTTAAGGCTTAAATGTAAGACCCGAAACCTTAAAACTCCTAGAAGAAAACATAGGCAGTAAACTCTGACATTGCTCCTAGTAATACTTTTCCTGATCTATCTCCTTGGGCAAGGGAAACAAAAGAAAAAAATAAACAAATGGGACTACATCAAACTAAAAAGTTTTTGCACAACAAAGGAAACCACCAACAAAATGAAAAAAGACAGCCTACTGAATGGGATAAGATATTTGCCAGTGATACATCTGATAAAGAGTTAATATTCAAAATTTATAAAGAACTCATATAACTCAATACCAAAAAAAAAAAAAAAACCAAACAATCCAATTTAAAAATAGGCAGAGACCTGAATAGACAGGATGGCTATCATCAATAAATCAACAAACATCAAGTGTTTGCGAGGATATGGAGAAAAGGGAACCCTCATGCACTGTTGGTGGAATAGCAAATTGGTCCAGGCACTATGGAAAACAGATTGAAGGTTCCTCAAAAAATTAAAAATATAACTACCAAGTGATCCAGCAATTCCATTTATGGGTATTTATCCGAAGAAATCCAAAACACTAATTGGAAAAGATATGTGCAGTCCTATGTTCACTGCAGCACTATTTACAATAGCCAAGATATGGAAGCAACCCAAGGGTCTAGCAACAGATGATTGGGTAAAGATGTGGTACATATATACAGTGGAATATTACTCAGCCATAAAAAAGAATGAAATCTTACCATTTGTGACAACATGGATGGACCTAGAGGGTATTATGCTAAGTGAAATATGTCAGACTGAGAAGGACAAACACCATATGAACTCATTTATATGTGAAATCTAAAGAATAAAATAAATGAACAAACAAAACAGAAACAGACTCATAGATACAGAGAACAAACTGAAGGTTGCCAGAGGGGAGTGGAGTTGGGGAGCTACGGGAAATAATTGAAGGGATTAAGAAATACAAGTTGATAGTTTCAAAACAGTCATGGGGATGTAAAATACAGCATAAAAAATATAGTCAATAATATTGCAATAACTATGTATAGTGCCAGGTGGGTACTAGGCTAGTCAGGAGGATCACTGCATAAATTATATAAATGACTACCCACTATGCTGTACACCTGAAACTAATATAAAATAATATTGAATGTCAGTTGTAACTGAAAAAAATAATTTTTTAAAAATTAGAGCACTTTTAATAAAACAACTACAAAAAAAAGTTGGTAGGATCATCGGGTTCAAACTGTTTTCAGGGTAGATCTATTCTCTCTATAATTTCCCTTTGAGCTGCATTCACCACCAATCTTGAACCTTCATGGCATGGAAACACTTTTAAAGAACTTGAACCTTGAAAGTTAAATTAACACATTGTGAGAGCGAAAGGAGGCACCAGGGCCCTCTCTCTGCAAAAGAGAACTCAATGAACATTGAGTCTGTGAAGATGTTTATGGTTCCTTAAATCTCATTTGTTTTTATATGAAGCTGTGACT